TGTGTGTGTGTGTGTGTTGGGGGAGGGGAAGGGGGATGGTGGGGGGAGCCCACAAAAGAATGGAGAACAATCTATTCTTTACAATACCAGCTACCCCATTGTGATGTTAGTGTTTCTGAGTATGTCATCCTTTCAACTTAAAAACCCTCCATGCTAGCAATATGACACACAATTTAAAAAGAAAAAAAACTTCACATGACATTAAAAAGTTCACTATAACTTCGACTGGGCCCATTTTTCCAATCATTTCTTTTTTTGTAGCTAACACTACTCAATAGAAGAAATATAGAGTCTATCAAGTATATCTGACCTTGGTGCCTGGTTCTACTTATTAACCTTACAGCATTAAATACAATAATCCATATAAAGCACTTTGTTAGTGTCTAGTATATATAAAGCACTTAATAGCTATTAACTACTATTATCTAACATAGTGGGTACATGTACAATAACTGGGGGTTAGGAGGAACCATCCACAAAGGCTTCCAAGATAGTCATATTTAAGTGAAAACCTGAAGAATACTAAATATCCTGAAGTCAAGCGAAAAGGAAATGTTTCCAAGAAGAAAATGTGTCAAGTGTAAAAGCCCAGAGACGAGAAAGAACATGACTTATTCACAGAGCTGAAAGATATTTAATCTTGACTAGAGCATAGAAAATTTGGGGAAATGAAAGAGGAAAGGGTAAGAAATATAGCTGGAAAAATCAACTAAAAAATATTATGCAGCATAAGTAAGGCAACATAAAGCCTCTGAAGCAAATGAGTAACACAATCAAATTTGCATTTTTGAAAGAACACAGACTCCGTGTGAGAAGCGACCGGAGGGATTAAATATGGAGCTTAGAGGCTGGTCCAGAAGCTGTTGTAAAGATCAAATAAAGATATCAATGCTAAATAATCATCAGCTATAAAATGTCAAGCACTTTAATATACATTATGTATCTTAAGAAAAATACTTTTAGTGGTTCAAATACCTATTTCACATTCAATTCTTAACATAGTAACAACAAAACACCTGATAATCCTACCAGTATTCCTCTTCAGGGACCTTATCCAAAGGTGGATTTAAGCAGTAAATGTGATAGGCCATGTTACACTCATCACAGAGAAGCTGCATGCTGGGTTCCTGTTTTCCGCCACACACACGACAGGAGCAAGAATGGCAGTTCTTATCTGGGTCTCCACCACAAAAGTCACATTCAGGGTCATTTTTCCCTATTAAGAACAAAATTATAGCATGCCCAGTCTTAAAATCATTTTTATAGCTATGAATAGTATTAAGAAAAATCCATGAAAATAGCATACGTATTTTTTAATGAAGAAAAGGGAACCATAAGGAATAATCAAGTATGGGACTTTATGAATAAATACCTGTGTTTCATTCTAGGTTTATGAATCAAATTTTCAAGGATAAGGCCCAGGCATGTGCCAGTAATAAATCTACCCTCAACCATGAGGATAATGTACTTTAGCCTTAGAAATCTGCACTGACTAGACTCACGGTTCCCCAAATGTGCACGATACCCAGGGACAATGCAGTGACCTCACTGGGAAACCATACCTTAAAATTTCCCAGGAAATACATTACTCTATTGAATAAAGTTGTTTGGACACATCTACTTAATAAATGGAACTATTAGGTACCATCTTTTCTACAGATCCAAACCTTTCCTTGGGTAGGCTGAACTACGAGGGAGAGGCCTGTTAGGAGTTAGCAAGCCCATTTTAGTTCCCATACAAGCTATGCCCCCCAATACTCTCTTTATTAGGATAGAAGTGGCATTTCAAACTCAGCTGATTTTTTATCTTACTTGTCAACTGGTTCAGAACTCTGGCAAATAAGAGGTACCATTTACTGCTCCCTCCTCATCTAAATCCATAAGTGTGACAAAGTGTAAAATTTATGTATGTACACAAAAAGTCTTACAGTAATGTTCATAATACCAAAAGTTAAACTTAAATATCAATCAAAAGAGGAATAGTTGGATAGATTTTTATGAAAAAATGAGGTAACCAGGTATATTAAATTAAAAATTGAAATAGCAGAATAACATTTTTAAACAAAATTGTTTAAATAAATACACAAAGATAAATTATATAGCTAGAGGAAGATGTCTCTAATGACATACATTGTTAGAGTAACAACCTCCTGGGAGTTCTATATTATTTGAATGTATGTAGTTCTATACTATGAATTTCTTACAAATGTACACAATATACTTGTGAGGAAATTTACCATATCAGGGCTGATCTAACAATATAAGGGAAATGGGGAAAAGTATCTGACAAACAAGAGAAGGAGGAAGGAAAAGGCTACCTATTTTAGTACTAACTTTCTGAATAATCATTGCCTATTCTTACTAATGAAGATCACAATTTTGTTTCACTTCCACTAAGTAGCTGTGACAACATATAAGTAATGAAAATATAACAGATCTAAAATGCCAAAGGCATGTTTATTTTATTTTTATTTTTTATTTTTATTTTATTTTTTATTAGTTTCAAGGCATGTTTAGATTTTGGTTTGGAGAGTGATCTGATCAATGGAAATCTGGCTGTGGCTCTGAAATGGTTTCTTTACATGCAAGGTTAAAGTCATAACTATAATGTGATTAGCATTACAGAACAAAAAAGTTCATGCAGGTATACTGAGTGGGAGAAAACAAAAGACACGAGAATAACCTAGTCAATCTTGGTTTTCTACTGGGTTTTACTGAGAAAGACTAAGTCACATTAAATAGGTTTACTCATCAAGTTACCTTTATTCCTAAGATATAACCATACAAGTAGTCATACAGAGTAGGCCTTAAGGTTCTTAATTCAAATCTAGCCATATTAACATTGTAGCCTCAAAAAACTGGAATGACCTAGACTGGTAACGTGGAAGTTTATTTATTGATCTGTTCAAGTTCTTGTGTTGTAATCTTGCACAACTGTGGTAAGAAGAGGTTAGCCAGACCTATTTCGTCTTGAATATTTCTTTTCCAGAATATACCAGACATTGACATGTAGCATAAACTTAATGGATTGCTCACCACAAAATCTTCAGAATTAAGAGAGTATGAGCCACTATAAATTATTTGGAAAGACTGCAAGTGAATCATGAATGAAAAAACCTAGACTCTAGTCCCACTTCTGTGACCAACTAGCTGTACGATATTAAGCAACTGAAATATGTACAATGAAAAGGTAGGGCTACATTCTAATGATTCTGTAAACCTCATTTACTACCTCCCAGACATTCAAGGATCAATCAGCACTACTATTCTCAGGCTATACTGGTATAAAAACAAGTCTCGTTATTAAAAATTAATCTTAGATGGCCACAAAATCACTGAAGTGGGATTTTTATTTGGACAGAAACTATAATAGAGGAAACAGCAAGAAAAATGCCAACATGAGAAAATATTTCTTTGAAAACAAATTTTATCATTTGAGAAAAATCCGTTAGACTGAAAAGGATTTTAAATCAAAACTGCTGTCTTGAAAATAAATTTCTATGGTCTGCAGTTTTATACTTCCTCAAAAGTTATTCCCTGACTAATTAAAATGACAATTATGTACAACATATGTAGTCTAAGCCCATAAAAAAAAAAAGTCATACTTAAAAACTTTCCATCTGCCAATGAAAGAGGATGGGCTCCAGGTTTCTCGATCTTGAAGATTTCATTTACGAATGTTATCTGGCAGTCATTTAATTTTCCTTCAGAACCCCTATTTTAAAAAAAAGGAAGAAAGGTTAACTTCTGCCAGCAAAATCTTACGCAAATAATAATTAAAAGTCAATTTAGAGGGCTGGACATGTGGCTCAGTTGGTTAAGAGCTTGCTCAAGAGTGCGAGCTCTGAGCAACAGGATCGCCGGTTCGATTCCCACATGGACCAGTGAGCTGAGCCTGAGCTGAGCTGCCATTGAGTGGTGAGCCCAACAGGTGACAGGATAGCTCAGCTGGTGAGAGCACATGGTACTAACAACACGGTTGCCTGTTTGAGATGGTGTGCTACATCCACCCGCAACTAAAGACTGAACTCCGCACCTTGAGCTGAGCTGCAGCCCGGTGGCTCAGGGGATAGAGTGTGCACTCTTAACAACAAGGCTGCTGGTTCGAGTCGCGCATGTGATGGTGGCTACGCCCACCTGCAACTAAGACTGAACTCAGCACCTTGAGCTGAGCTGCCACCTGGATGACTCAGTGGATAGAGCCTGTGCTCTTAACAACAAGGCTGCTGGTTCGACTCCCACATGAGATGGTGGCTATGCCCACCTGCAACTAATTGAACACAGCACCTTGAACGACTGGACTTGGAGCTGAGCCTGCTGCGTCCTCCACAACTAAGATTGAAGGACAACAACTTGGCTGTTCCCCTCCCCCAATTTCCCAATAAAATCTTAAAAAAAAGTCAATTTAGAAACTCACTGAATTTTGTTTACAAATTGTGATTACAGTTATTCCAATTCTTTGAATTATTGTTTTCAATAGGGAAAAAAAGTCCAATAGTAATTAGTTAATATTTAAAGTTAAGTGTAACTTTAGTGTAGTATTAAGAAAACTATTTAGAGACATCACTTAAGATTACATGGTAGGAAAACAGCTACTTTGTAAATTTAAGTTAAAGACTAGAAAGAATGATACTTTCAATTAAAATAAAAGAAACATTTTCAATAAATATAGTAAATTTCTAGGTTAAAAAGATGAAATCATTAAAAAGAAAAACCAGTTTGCATGTACTTCTTCAAAGTCTCCTACCATAACTACGGATATGTACATTTCTCCTTTTAATCTGTCAACTTTTGCTTTATATTTTTGAAGCTATGTTATTGGGTACAATTTTTATGAAATGTCTCTATCTCTACTGATGAATTCTGTTTCAAAAGTATACCATTTTTTTGTTAGCATTTGCTTGATGACTTACCATCCTTTTACCTTTTCTTTTAAAACTGTTAATGTCAAATATACACAAATGTATACTTTAACAAAATATAAGATACATATCCTTGTAATCACCAAACACGACAGGAGACAAAACTGCCAACTACTTCAGTCCTTGACATGCTCCCTCCCAAGGGTTACATTTACCTTAATTTTCTTCAATCTTAACCTGTCCACCTCCCTAGGCATATGATGTAGTTTTGCCCGTGCTTTTCAGGAACAAGATAGGGTTACTGTTATTCAACACAGCATTGGAAGTCCTAGCCAGAGCTATCAGGCAAAAGAAATAAAAGGCATCCAAATTGCGAATGAAGAAGTCAAATTGTCACTTTTTGCAGATGACGTGATTCTTTATATAGAAAATCCTAGACTCCACCAAAACACTGTTAGAAACAATAAACAGGGGTGGCCAGGTGGCTCAGTTGGTTAGAGCGTGAGCTCTGAGCAACAGGATTGCCAGTTCCATTCCCACATGGGCCAGTGAGCTGCGCCCTCCGCAACTAAACTAAAAAAGGCAACTGGACTTGGAGCTGAGCTGCGCCCTCCACAACTAAGATTGAAAGACAACAATTTGACTTGGAGCTGATGGGCCCTGGGAAAAACACACTGTTCCCCAATAAAGTTAAATAAAATAAATCTTCCCTAAAAAAAAAACCAACAATAAACAAAGTTGCAGAATACAAAGTCAGTGTACAAAAATCCATTGTATTCATATATACTAACAATGAAATTTCAAAAAAAAAAATTCCATTTGCAATTGCAACAAAAGGAATACCTAGAAATAAACCTAACAGGATGTGAAGGACCTATATACTGAAAACTAAAGACATTATTACAAGAAATTGAAGAAGACACAAAGAAATGAAAAGATACTCAGTGTTTATGAATTGGAAGAATCAACATAGTTGAAATGGCCATACTATCCAAAGCAATATACAAATTTAATGCAATCCTCATCAAAATTCCAAAGGCATTTTTAAAATAAATAAAACAAAAGAAATCATCAGATTTGTATGCAATCACAGAAGACTGTGAATAGTCAAAGCAACCCTAAGAAGAAAGAACAGGGCTAGAGGTATCACACTCCCTAACTTCAATTTATATTACAAAACAACAACAATCAAAACAGCATGAACATTTATCTGTAAAGATATATGTACCCCTATTGGCAGAAAAAAAGACACAGACCAATGGAACAGAACTGAAAACCCAGAAATAAACCCACATATATGTAGGCAGGTAATTTTAGACAAAGGAGCCAAAAACATACAATGGAGAAAAGAAAGCCTCTTCAATAAATGGTGCTGGGAAAATTGGAAAGCCACATGGAAAAGAAATAAACTAGAATTCTATCTGTCACCATATACCAAAATTATCTCAAAATGGATCAGAGACCTCAATATAAGACCTGAAACAATAAAATATATAGAACAAAACATAGGTACTAAACTTACGGACTTTGGGTTCAGAGAGAATTTTATAAATTTGATCTCAAAGGCAAGAGAAATAAAAGCAAAAATAAATGAATGGGACTATATCAAACTAAAAAGCTTCTGCATAGCAAAGAAACTGTCAACAAAACAGAGAGGCAAACAACTGAATAAGAGAAGATATTTGCAAACAACACCTCCAATAAGGGGCTAATATCCAAAATACATAAAGATCTTGTACTATTCAACAACTAAAAACAAACAATCCAATTTAAAAAATGGGCAGAGGATCTGAACAGACACTTATCCCAAGAAAATATACAAATGGCCAACAGATATATGAAAAAATGTTCAACTTCACTAGCTATTAGGGAAACAAATCAAAACCACAATGAGATACCACCTCACACCTGTTAGATTGGCTATATTAACAAGACAAGTAATAACAAGTGCTGGAGAGGTTTGGAGAAAAAGAAACCCACATATGCTGCTGGTGGGAATGTAAATTGGTACAGCCACTATGGAAAACAGTATGGAGGTTCCTCAAAAATTTTAAAATAGAGTTACCATACAACCTAGCAATCTCTCTTCTGGATATCTACCCAAAATATCTGAAAACATTTATCTGTAAAGATAAATGTACCCCGATGTTCATTGCAGCATTAGTCACAGTGACCAAGACATGAAAACAACCAAAGTGTCCTTCGATACATGATTGGAGAAAGAAGATGTGGTACATATACACAATGGAATATTACTCAGTCACAAGAAAAGATGAAGCGCTGCCATTTGTGACAACATGGATGGATCTTGCGATTATCATGCTAAGTGAAGTAAGACAGAAAAAAGTCGAGAGCCATATGATTTCACTCATGTGGGATATTAAACTGAAAACAACAAATGAACAAGACAAACAAAAACTCATAGACATAGACAACAGTTTAGTGATTACCAGAGGATAAGGGGAAGGAAGGGTAGTAGAAGAGGGTAAAGGGCGTCAAATATATGGTGATAGAAGGAGAACTGACTCTGGGTAGTGAATACACAATACAACCTATAGATGATGTATTATAGATTTATACACTTGAAACCTATATAATTTTACCAACCAATGTTACCCCAATAAATTTAATAAACATAAAAAATTTAAAGATACCCTAATCTATAAATTCCCATACTATCTCTTTCTTCCGTGCAATTTGTTAAATTGCAACAAAGTGTTTGCAATTCATTTGTCCTATAGAGTTCCCCACAATCTTGATTTTGATATTTGCGTTCCCAAAGAATAGTTTAAATAGTGTTTTCTGGCGTTTGTATTTCCAGTAAATTGATAGTTGGGTACAGAGTAAAAGCCAGAAATCCTTGGCCCACTGCCTGTTTTTGTAAATAAAGTTTTACTGGAACAAGCTATGCCTACTCATTTACGTATTCTCTATGGCTGGCTTCCTGCTATAGTGGCAGAGAGTTGAGTAGTTTTCACAGAAACCATCTGGCCACCGAAGGTTCAACTATTTACTATCTTGCCCTTTACAAAAAAAATTTTTTTGGGGTCAAACCTTGCTATAAATGCTTAATCAAATCAGGTTCATTTTTTGGTAAAACTATTTATAGGTCTATTTCTCTCAGGAAACACCTCGTTATTTAGTTATCTTTTCCTATAATGACAGCAGCCATAGATGCTCAATGCCTAGATTCACTGGGGATTAGAAAGTGTTGATATTCCAGTTCTATCATTTCATTCTCCTTTATTTGCTGGAATAATTCAATAAAGAGAAACTTGACTTCATGAACTATTTGCTGAGTTAGTGGTATAGTTTATTTAACAAATATAGATTAAATGTTTTCTTAGCAGTTTTTAAAGTAATAGTACCTCTAGCATCCTATATAAGTGACCAATGATTTTCTATATTACTAGGAATTCACATATTTGAAGTGTTTCAATCCACTGTAGTTACTTTCCTTATCGATGTTCAAAATGTCTCATCTTTGACCAATGGGATCTTCCAGGTGACTCCCAAATTTTTCTCACAAGAACTTAGTCTTTATGGGCTTCCTTGCTATTCATAAGACAAGATGTTCCAAGTTCACCTTGTACATTTTCTTACCCCAGCATGGAGTCCTATCTCCAAGGAAGCTTGGTTTCTTTTAGGTGGACATGGTATTTCAAGAACACAACTTAGCACTAGAAAAGCTTACTACAACTGGACTGATCACTGTTTCTAGGCTCTTACAGTAGACAGAACTAAAAATGAAACATACTCATTAATACATGTACAAAATACCTCATGAGTTCATATAAATACTTTCCGAAAATTCAGGACTAAAGAGTAAATAAAAAAAAAACAAAAAACAATT